TTACAATAGCATAAACTAATACAAGCTAAACTTAAAGAACTAAGCTAAACTGAAAGAAAAAAAGAAAGAAAAGAAAGTATATGGTAAAGAAGAAGAAATATATTAAAAAGTGATTTCCAACCTTTATTAAAAGCATTGACAATTCAGTCACCCTTCACCCTCTATAACATTACAAACAAGTATCTTTTCATCTCATATTCCATCCCTTATCTATAAACAAATCTATAAAACTTTTCAGTTGGAGAGGATCAGCAAAAAGTCTTTAAAAGTTTGCCAGAATTTTCCAAATAAATATATTATTTTAACCTTGATCAAGTACAACTTTATATTCCTTACTTTTACTTCTAACGGTATTAATCCTTAGTTCATTCAAATCGTTATAGGATTTGATTTCTCTTCAATTCTTCCTATCATAAGGAGTTCTTCCAGGGCTTAACAAGCCTCTTTTGTAGATAGAAAAACATTTTTCAGGACATTCTCTTTGTCATTTGTATTCCTCCTTTCATTTTTAAAACCTCAGCCGATTTCTTTTGTATATACAAAATGTTCTTTTCCAAATTGTTCTCTTGGCCTGTCATTTCTAGTTTCACTTTGAATACTTTCTCTGTCTTATCAGATAAAAACTGTTCCAGCTATGTAATTTCCTCATTGACATCTTTTGGACATAATCCATAGAAATAGGTATCATTACTGAGTGTGTGGATACTATAGCTATTAATATCTGGCTCCATTCTTCAAAGATCTCCTTTAATATTTTCATTGTTATGATATTTTGTATCATTTTGTAAAGTCTCAGTTAGCCAATATCATAAACTGGTTTGTATTTTTCCCTTATGCTTAGAATCTTTAGTCTCCTCTAATTTTAAAATAATAAAAGTCTTTATATTTGTTATGAGCCAAGATAGCCAAAATAATTCTGGTCCCCAAGAAGCTATTTATTTTTTACAGTTAATTCCAAAATCTTATAGTGCAAATCAATATTCCAAATTTAATTGAGCACTTAATCCATTTGTAACTTTCTTAGAACATAATCTTATTTAGTTTCCTGCAGTTTATTTCAAATTCTTTAAGTTCTTAAGCTTCTAATTAATTTTTCTTTTGTTCAGAGCTAAAGCTAAACTGACCCAGAAACTTTTCAAATTTGTTGTTCTGAAGGTCTCATTAGAACCTCCTCTAAGCTCCAAGATGGTTAATAGACAATTTCTCCAAAGTGTTTAGAAAATGAGGCTTGCAAATTTAGTGTCCTTTAAAGGGCTCCACCACGATTGCAAGCCAGGTAGCTAGTCCTTTCCTCTCCTGGTGCTCAATCTGCAGAAGACTGCTGTCCTGGGAAGCAGCCAATCAGAGTACATCTGGGTGACCTCTCATCCTCTCATTATTTGGAGAGTTTCTGAAAAACCAGGTTCTTTGGTCCTTGCTATGGCCATCAGTTCCTCTTTTGTGGAGTGTCTTCTGTTTGCCATGCCTTCCCTGGAAGTCTCTTTTCTTACAACATTCTAACAGTTTGTTCTGTTTACTGCTACTTATCTAATTATGGAATATTGCCTGCTCCAAAGGATGTTATTTTCTAACAAGGACAACATGCAATATCCAAATATGCCCTCTTGCTTTTAACTTGTTCCCTTTTCTTGTCTGATGTGGTGATTCAAGAACATGATGTTTGCTACAGGGATTGCATTACATTTTATAGATAAAGGTAAAGGTTCCCCTCGCACATATGTGCTAGTTGTTCCTGACTATAGGGGGCGGTGCTCATCTCTGTTTCAAAGCCGAAGAGCCAGCGCTGTCCAAAGATGTCTCCGTGGTCATGTGGCCGGCATGACTAAATGCCAAAGGTGCATGGAACGCTATTACCTTCCCACCAAAGGTGGTCCCTATTTTTCTACTTGCATTTTTTACCTGCTTTCAAACTTCTAGGTTGGCAGAAGCTGGGACAAATAATGGAAGCTCACTCCGTTATGCGGCATTAGGGATTCGAATCGCTGAACTGTCAACCTTACGATCGACAAGCTCAGTGTCTTAGCCACTGAGCCACTGCAACCTTTAAAATATGAAATATAAAATATCATTATATATATATATATATATATATATATATATATATATATATATATATATATATATATATAGATATTCCATAAAATGGTTGACTCTTTTTTATTTTGTTTTATGAATAAAGCATAATTCCTACCTTTATTGTGATAAACAAACAAATGTCTATTTTTCATTTGCACGCTATAATAGTACCAAAGTTACAATTATTGGAAAGAAAATAATGCCATTTCCTGATGCTCAGAAGAGAGCATTTTAAAGAAGATTCTTATCACTAAAAGATCACAGTAATTTATGTGATGAATGTGACCAAATACATTTTATAGTCTGTTGAGCATCAAAATAGGAAAGTGTCTCCTGCACAGATCTTCCATAGTGGCGGAATGTAAAGTAGAAAATCTTTATGCTTAATGGAATGAAAATTTCATATAAAGCTCAATTGGTTTTGCATGCTTGCTTACTTCTTTACTTATTTGTCTCTATCTGTCTGTGTATAAGTATGTACATGTGTAAACATGAGCATGCATTTGCTGGCTGATTATCTTTTGCTTAGTTGAAGATATTGTCTAGAAATGGCCTCTTTGATTCTTATCTTATAGCATACACTAAAAATAAAGAAATCTAATATGTTTTTAAAATCTACTGGCAAACATGAAATGAATTCTCCAAAACTACTGTTTCCATCTAGAAAGAATAATACTAAAACAGAATATGTAGTATTGGATTATGTAGTATTGGAATTTCTACGCATTACTGGTATTTATACCAGAGAAGAAAAGGCCAGGACACAAATTTCATTTGTAGATTCATTTTTTAACTCGGATGATTTGTTGCACTTTAAGAGAAGGTAATAAGTTATTAAAAAAAATTTATATTTATTGTTATGAAGGGGGAAGTAATTTCTGTATATATATCTTTTCCTTTCTTTTCTTTTCTACAACTTTCTATTTTTTTTGGTAGCTATTTTTTTTTAGTTTGCATTAGTTTTATCTTTTTAATTGACAGGCTTCATTTTTCTAGTCCCATACATTCATAGACTTTTCAATCTCTTCCTCTCTCTCTCTCTCTCTCTCTCTCTCTCTCTCTCTCTCTCTCCCCTCCCTCCCTCCCTCCCTCTCTGACATTCATTACCTTATCACTGCTTTCCCCCCCCCTGTAATTGAAGATTATCCTATCTTCTTTTTAATCTGCCAATCTTAGACATTGTTGACTCATATAGTCCAATGTTCTGACTCTAGCTACGGCAGTTTCAAGTGTTCTGACCATATTTATCAATGCTACAGACTGAGTTTTAAAACTATTTTAAAATATAATGTGGCCTGCTTGCTCTGACCTGACCCAATCTAAACATTTGTTGGTACATACCTGCCAGCAGTTCCCCTCCTATTACACTTTGTTCAATCATCTATGTTTCTCTTTAGCTATAAGACAGGGGTGTCAAACTCAATTTCATTGCGGGCCACATCAGGGTTGTTTGACTTGGGGGGGGCAGGGGGCGTGGGCAGGGGGCAGGGAGCATGGGCAGGGTGGGCATAGCCAGCTCAATGTAATTCATGTCGGGGGCGCCTGTGGTGGCCGAGCGCTCTGTCAGGGAAAATGGGCTCCCAAGCTCCGTTTTCGGCTGCAACAGCTTCCTGCAACCTTCTGCCAGCAAAAACGGAGCTTGGGAGGGCTGCCTATGGCCTTGTGAGCTCCATTTTTGGCTGTGACGGCCTCCTGTAACCTTCTGCCAATGAAAACTTGAACTCCATTTTTGGTGGCAGAGGTACCGTGGGTTGGTCCTTTGCTGTTACCAGTGTGGCCCCGTGGGCCAGATCTAAGTACCCCGCATGCTGATTCCAGGCTTTGAGTTTGACACCCCTGCCATTTGTGAACTTGATTGTACATCTAACCCTCATCCTGTTTGATGAACACCGAAGCAAAGAACGAATTTTCTCCCATTTCTCACAAAAGCCATTTTCTCTCTTCTTTCACCTTAGCCTCTTGAAGCTGTGGCTGCTTAAATGAAGGGCCTGGTGGCTCAGCAGACTAAAAAGCATTGTGATTAACACCAGATGTCTGCAATTACTGTAAGTTCGAATCTCACCAGGCTCAAGGTTGACTCAGCCTTCCATCCTTTCTAAGGTAGGTAAAATGAGGACCCAGTTTGTGGGGGCAATAAGCTGACTTTGTATAAATATATACAAAAGTATGAAGGCTATTGCTTAACGCTTTGTAAGCCGGCCTGAGTCTCCGGAGAAGGGCGGCATATAAATCAATTTTTTTAAAAAAAATGTTAGCATGGGACAATGCTCTTGGCTTCTGTATTCTTTTCCTATGTTGCAATCATTTTGACACAGAGACAGGCCTTCTCAACATCAGTTTACAGATGGGTGAATTGAAATTTACAGAGATGCCTGTCAGGATGATGGCCAATGAGCAATAGATTGAATTTCTGAGCGTCAAGGGTTGACTCTAAAACTTAGCTCAATTCAGCTTCAGAACTTAACCTGTAATGCTGCATAGCTTCTTAAAGAAAGGAGAGTCACTGTGACACAATAATTAAGGTGCTGGAGTGGAATTAGAAAAACCCAGGTTCAGATCCATATGCAATCATGGACCGTACTGGGGAGTTAGTCATTTGAGCTGTTATTGTTGGGATAATGGAGCTGGGGTGGGAGAATAACCTCATGTATTTCTCAGAGAAAAAGAGGAACGGAGATTCAATAAACAAAAGATAGCTTTGCCATTTAGCTTTCCTTTCCATTCCATTTTTACTAATATTGCTTTTGGTATCTCCCTTACAGTACTCTATCTAGGAAGGCCAAACCAACAACAACAGCAGATGTTCAAAAAATTGCCGTAAATGACAAACATTGAACAGGCTTTTCTCCACCCTGATTATTTGCTAAGATTTTCTCTTTGGGGACAGAGATCACCCATAGGTACACGTTTGGTACATCTGACTTTTCTTTCCTTTGCTGATTAGGAATCTTCCAGAGCTTGCAGGACAGTTCACATATCCACTTCATTACAACGTATTAGCTTTCAGAGCCAGTATGGCCATGAGAATAAAAGTTCATGTTGATATAGGATCCAGCTGCTGATGGCTCAAAGAATCTCTGACACCAATTCTCTCTATATCTGCAGGCAATTTTATCCTTTAAGAGACTGAAATCCATTTAAATGTTTAACTATGACAACCATGGCATTTGGAGTGACTGTATGTGATATAACTGAGACAAAATACCTGAAGAATTCAAATGGAGACTAAACTACATAATTTATCAAAAGGTGCTGCATATACTAGGTTCGCTATAATTTTGTCAATTGAAATTGAATTTGGGTTTTTTTCCCTCAAGGAAAAGAACATCCAAAATGTCAAGAGAAGCAAAAACAATTTGGTATATTAATTTTCACTGAATTATGCTGGAAGGAAAATTAAACATAAAGCCATCTTTTTCAAGACTAAATATCAGAAGCGTTCAGAGGAAGCTGAAAAAAATTGATAGGAAGATGCATAAAATAATTTTTGGAGAGAAGGTTTATTTAGTACATGTTGCAATATTTTCAGGATCAGACTCAATAAAGATAATAGGAATTAGAGCTTTAAATATATTTCTTTTTAATTATGATAGGCATTCTATATTCACTGAATATTCAAGGTAGAAGCGACGAGAATGGTGAGGGTGGCTCCTTATATATACAAGGGGTGGAGCTAGGAATGGGAGTGGTAAGTTATGAATACATTAAAGTCCAAAGAATAAGTTAACCTCTGATGTTCCATATATACATTATTTACACATTGGAGAATAAGGCATTTACATCTGACAAATCCCCCTCTAAATGCCGGTTCGTTACACAACACCAATTACATTCTGATTCAGGACAATATAATACATATAATTTAGAAGTTAAATATTTGTGTTGTTTAGAAGGTAAGGGTTTTGTTAATATGTCAGCTAATTGTTCAGAAGTATCGCAATGTATTGCTTTAATGAATCCGTCTTGAGACAGTTGTCTCACATGCTTAAACTTTATATCAATATGCCTGGACCTTTGTCCAATTGCATCGGATCTGGATATTTCAATGGCCGCTTTATTGTCTTCATGCATAATAAATGGTAAGGTGGGTTTCTTCCAAACATCAGTGATCAGATCATTGAACCATACAAGGTTATTTGCAGCCTTGGACAAACAAACATATTCCGCTTCTGTAGTAGAAGTGGCTACTAGTTCTTGTTTACCAGTATACCAGTAAACTGGACAATCATTCAATAGAAAAACATAACCAGAAGTACTCTTTCTGCATGATGTATCACCAGCCCAATCTGCATCAGCATAACAAGTAATTTTTGGTTCTCTGTCATTATTGGGTTCCAACATTAAACAAAAATCTAATGTACCCTTCAGATATCTTAGAATTCTTTTGACAGCTTCCCAATGATACAAGGTTGGTTTACTAACATATCTTGACAATAGATTGAGAGGTAATGCAATATCTGGCCTAGTCCAATTAGATATATAAAGGAGTGAACCTATAACTGATCTGTAAAATGTGTTGTCTTTAAACTCAGGGGAAGATTCATCAGTGTTTCTAAGAAAATCAGTTTGCATAGGGGTGTCACAGGTTTTGGCATTATTTAAGTTACATTTGTTTAGGAGTTCGATGATTTTATCTTTCTGTGTAAGTTTGAATCCCCTTTTAGTTTTGTTAATTTGCACACCAAGGTATTTATTCACTTTACCCAGAGATTTCAGTGAGAAGTGTTCATTTAACTTATTTACAAAGATTTCCCTGCTCTCTTTATGCTTTCCAATGTATAAAATATCGTCCACGTAAATTAATACAAATTCAATATGATCATTACTCTTTTTTACAAAGAAACAGTTATCAGCAGTGGTGGCGTTGAAATCCATGGTCTTAAGTACTTTTACCAAGCAATCGTACCATCTTTTGCCGGATTGCTTTAATCCGTACAGACTCTTATTTAATAACCAAATTTCGTTCTTATTAGTGTATTGACTGTGTGGTGCTCTTACATATATTTCCTTATCTAATTTTGCATGTAAGTATGCGGTCTGTATGTCATATTGGAATACGTCCAGATTGAGTGCAGATGCTACTACAAGGGCTGTTTTGACACTCTCTGTTCTCACTGTGGGTGAATATGTATCAGTATAGTCTTCTGGATATTTTTGTGCATAGCCTTGTGCAACTAGTCTAGCCTTGTATAAGGTATTGCCTCCTTCTAAGTTCTTAATTTTATAAATCCACCTGGTACCTATAATTGTTTTATCCTTAGGTGCGATCGCAGGTGTGAATACATTTAATCCTTGTAAACTTTCCATCTCTTTTTCCATAGCTAGTTCCCATTTTTCTCTTTCTTCATGTGGAAGTTTCAATACTTCTTCATATGTATTAGGTGTTATTTGTTCTCCATTCATATGCATTACGTAATCTTTGTATTTATTTGGTATTTGGTTTCTATTGTTTCTAATAGTTCTTTCAGGCTTGCTATGGTTATCATGCAAATATCTAGCTTCCTTTTTTGTTAATGTGTCTGTCTTTATTTTATGCTGACTATTAGTCCAAGTTTTGGTTTTGTTTTTACTTTTGTTAATATTTTGATTTTCTGTTGTTCCTTCCTCGCAAGATATCGTATCTTTACATTTATTAGGAAATATTTCATTAAGGTGCAATTTTGACCAATTGGCCTGTTCATGGAACACAGCTGTTCTGGATACTATAAATTTGTTATTACTGTCAATAAATCTGTACCCTTTGGTTCCAGTTTCGTATCCCATGAATCTTAATCTCCTGGATACGTTTTCTCCCTTTCTCCTCAATTGTTTAGGTATGTGTACGTCTGCAGTGACTCCAAATATGTGCATGTGTGATAATTTGGGTTTTCTATTGTACATCACCTCATATGGTGTCTTATTCACAATACTGGACCAGGTTCTATTTTGAGTGTAATTCGAATAATGTAATGCCTCTGACCAAAATTGTTTGCCTAAACCAGCATCCTCTAATGTGCACCTAATCATGGTTTGTAGTGTGGAATTTTTCCTCTCTGCAACTCCATTTTGAAATGCAGAAAAAGGATTGGACGTGAAATGTAACATTCCTCTATCCTTTAACCATTGGGAGAATTCTTTAGACATGAATTCACATCCCCTATCTGTCATAATTTGCTTTATTCTGATATTATGTTGTGTTTCTATACGTTTGTAGAATTCCTTAAATTTCTGAAATGTTTCATCCTTGTGCTTTAATGTGTAAACAAAACCATATCGGCTGTAGTCATCCACTATTGTTAGGAAGTAACGTTTTCTATAGGTAATTGAGGGACTTAATGGGCCAACTAAGTCCATATGTACCAAATCAAAAATATTGTTAGTTGATCTGTTAGATTTTTTTGGTCTGGGACTGGTTTTTAGTTTGGTGGATTTACATACTGAGCATTCCAAATAATTTTCACAATTTTTTATTTTGACACCTTCTGCGTGTTCAGTCATTTTTTGTACTACAGGAAAGCTTGCATGTCCTAACTTCCTGTGTAAGATGTGAGCACACTCATCATGAATTGGTTTACCTATTTTTGGTTTCTTTTCCTTGTATGTATTTTTGTGATCATGAGTTATTCTACACTCATCATTGTCACTGTTACTGACATTTTCATCATCTGCTTCAATACAATCTTCCATATTTGAATCAATGTTATGTAAACATCTTTCTTTAGTTATCAGATAAGGTAGACCTCCTTTTATCATTACAGTACCTACATTTGTTTTGTTCTTTTCTATAGTTGCTTTCCCCTTTGAGAAAACTATATTGATATCAGATTCTCTGCTTAATTTTATGGCACTTAGTATGTTGTGAGGTATTTCTGGGATTAATAATACCCCCTCTATTTTCCCTAGACCAGGCAAGGTCACATTTCCTTTGCCTAGTACTTGAACCTTTTCTTGATTAGCTACCTTTATCACAAACTTATCTTCTATAAATGAAGATAATATACTTTTGTTGTTGGTGGTGTGATTTGTTGCACCAGAATCAATAAGCCAATTGTTATTCTCATCCTGCTGTGTTCTGGTGCTGTCTTGTTTATTTAGCCCATTCAGTGACCCAGATTTCCTCTCTTTTGAATTTTCTCTACCCCCTCTACCTTCTTTGTAATTTGGTGGACTTCTATATTTGTGTCTATCTGTGGAAGATTGTCTGTAATTATATTTGCTCCTATATTCTGGTCTATGTCTCTCTCTTGAGACTTTGGGGCAGTCTCTTCTATTATGTTCCCTGGATCCACAATTGTAGCATCTAAAGGCCTCATTATGTTTATCTTGAAAGACTACTTTCCTAAAAGGTTTGTGGTCTGTTTGGTTACTGGATCGATTTTTTCTTGAATTGTCTTCTGCTATCAATTTGTTAGATAGACTTTCTATGGATAAATATCCCAAATTAATGGTATCTAAGTGTGACATAAAGCTATCCCATGATGGATCAAGTGAATTGATAATAACACTTTTCATTGTTTGATCTGAAATCACTTCCCCCCTCAATTGTAGCTCAGCTCTTATTTTGTTTAGATTTATCAAATGCTCACTTATAGAAACCCCTGGTTTTACTCTAGAGGAAAAGAAATCCTTAGACATTCTTGTGGTTGTAGCTACGCTATCGCTGTGAAATAGATTAAACATGCATTGAATTATTTCTGATACAGTTAGGTTTGGTTTGATGCTATGATACATTGCAGGAGACACGCTAGATATTATTATGAAAAATGCTCTATGATGTAAACAATCTATTTTTAAAGTCCAAGGTCTTCTTGGAGGGCTAGTTATAAAGAATAGTAAATTTTCTTTCATGAAAATAACCTGAAGCTGTTGGTACCACTCTTGTAAATTAATGCCATCAATTCTAAGTTTTGGGAAGTCACTGGGTAAGTTACCTACATTATTCTGTCCATTACTTACAACCTGGGGCAGTCCGTGATCTCTCAAGTGCAGGAAATTACAGAACGGCATTGGGATGCTTGCAATGAGTCTGCGCGGTTCTCTGGCCAGTTCAAGTCCTTCTGGGTCGTCTACGTAGTTTCGCACATGCGCGTTGCTCATTTCTTCTTTGGTGGCGTCGTGGAAGGTTCTCTCCCTTTCAGCTCTCTCGATCCGCTCCTCCTCAGATGAGTCGGTCTCTGGCTCGGTTTTTGGGGTTCTGGTGGTGGCGACGGTTCTTTTCTTCTTTTTGTGTGCGTTGGTATTCGATCTTGTCTGTGGTGTAGGGCGAAATCGGCATGGCTCTCTGGGCTCGGGCGTCGTCGCTTTCGAAGTCAGGATGGGAGCGTGCAGGTCTTGAGTCGCCGGTTTGATTTCTTGCTTCTTCGTAGATGTCTTGGTAATTTTCAGTCTTGGCCCAAAAACAGCAAAAAGCGTTTTCATTGCTGATTTTACTTGAGATTTTGTTAAATCGTCTTCACTTTCTGATTTTGGATCATCTGAAGAGTTCGAGACTTCTTTCTCACTTTCTTCGTCTGATAGTGTTTTTCGCGCCAGAAATTTTGAACTGAGCGTTTTGATTGGCTCTGCTCCATTCTCTTTTGAAGTTCGTTGAAACCAAGATGGCTGCCATTCAAAATTTCGCGCGGGATCACATCTTTTCTTTTTAACAACTATTTTCTCAGTAGTCATCTCACTTACGGTTTTTTGATCTTTGGGTTTTTCTTTAATGACGTTTTTCTCTCTCGCTGCTCCGCTGTTCTTCAGCATCTCCTGGAGGTCCGCGATGAGACTTTCATCATTCTTTTGGCTTTTTAGTATCTTTAATATCTCTGACCTGAGTTCGTTATTTTCTATTTCGATTTCTTTCTGGTCATTATTTTCACTCATTAGTTCTTCTTCTTCAGTGGTGTATTCTTCGGATTCTCTCGAAATCGCATTGGTGGATTCGTTGATCATCTCTTGATCAGTTTCTATTTCTTTGCTGTAGGCCCTGGTGTTGGGCCTATCTTTCTTGGACATTTTTAATTACTTATTGAGTCAATTAACCATCCTCTGCTACCAGCTTGTTGCAATATTTTCAGGATCAGACTCAATAAAGATAATAGGAATTAGAGCTTTAAATATATTTCTTTTTAATTATGATAGGCATTCTATATTCACTGAATATTCAAGGTAGAAGCGACGAGAATGGTGAGGGTGGCTCCTTATATATACAAGGGGTGGAGCTAGGAATGGGAGTGGTAAGTTATGAATACATTAAAGTCCAAAGAATAAGTTAACCTCTGATGTTCCATATATACATTATTTACACATTGGAGAATAAGGCATTTACATCTGACAGTACATTTTAATCCCACTCTTTTCCAAGGAGTTTAGAATCCCTTGTATCCACACACAAAGGCAGAATATTCCTTACAACAGTCCCGTGAAATAGATTTGACTGCAAATTGTTGGCCTTGGGCTGGTTATCAAGGAAAAGTGAAATTTGGGTTCCTCTGATCTGATTTAGTTATTACCTTTGTTAACATAATGTGAAAACAAGGGCAAGGAATTTTTTTCCCCTGCAGACACACTGAACTATAGACACCCTAGTGGTACAGTGGTTAGAATGCAATATTTCAGGCAAACTCTGCCCACTGTCAGGAGTTTGATTCTAATCGGCTCAAGGTTGACTCAGCCTTCCAGCCTTCTGAAGTCAGTAAAATGAAGACTCAGATTTTTGGGGGCAATATGCTGACATTGTAAATCATCCAGAGTGCTCTAAAGCACTATGGGGCGGTATATAAGTCTAAGTACTATTGCTATTGCTAACTCTCAAGCAGCCTCCAAACCAAGCCTAATCCAATGTTAGATCCTCAGGATTTGAGCACAGTTGTAAATTCACTCAATATTTGTTAGAAAGATAGATCTTTCTTGTTCAGTGTGTTTGAGCTTAGTCCTCTGAATCACCAACAAATAGAGCAAGATTTTGTGTAAATCTTTGTGAATTTTGTGTTCATTTCCTTGGCAGCAATTTAAACAGCTCGTCTGCAGATGGCATTTACTTTATCTTCTGAAATATTCCCATGAAAAGTGAAGAGAACTTGTTAGAAAGAATGCAAACAGAGCGTGAAACAGTCATCATGGACTATTAATGTATCCTTAATACATGAACTGAACTGGAAACACATCACTGAAAGGAGGAGGTAGGAGAGTGGCTGCAGGCATGCAGCTGCCTCTCTGCCCTCTTCTCCATGCTATGATCTATGGATATGACATGCAATACACTATTTGCCTTCTCTCTCTTCCTTCTTCCTTCAGGAGCAGTGAAGAGATCCAATCAGACTGCAAGAAATGCTGAAGGGGGGGTGGTAGGTCATCCTGAAACATCCATTGTGATTCTTTCAACAGCACATCCATTTATACGCAAAAATATATGTCAATACTATGAACCTGTTTCAATGGATGGGTTGGATCTGCCTCTGAACTACCAGGTGTTGTGATCTGCCTTTTATCTGGTCTAGCATTGCAATTGATGGCAACCACTTCTTTATTTGTCTGTCCTTTCAGTATCTTTTCCTAGTTTATTCCAGTCCATTATGAGTTGATGGCTCTGACCCACGTGCTGAGGCTCCAGTTTACAGAGTTTACAGAGAAAAGTACAGGCAGTCCTCGACTTTCAACCATCTGAAGTTACAACAGCACTGAAAAAAAGTGACTTATGACTGTTTTTCACATTTTCACGGTCACTTGGCAACTGGCATGTATTTATGACGGTTCCAGTGTCCCAGGAGCATGTGGTCACCTTTTGCGACCTTCTGACAAGCAAAGTCAATGTGGCAGCCAGATTCACTTAACAATCATGTTACTAACTGCAATGATTCTCTTAACAACTGTAGCAGAAAGGTCATAAAATGGGACAAAATTTACTTAACAACTATCTTGTTAGAAATTTGGGGCTCAGTTATGGTCATATGCACACATAGAAGCTTAACTTCAAGGGAATTCTTCACATTGTGTCCATGGAGTCCACTTATCTGCTACTGGCTTCCATAACTTACATGCAAAACATCCAATTTATAATCTTTGGTTGGGAGAGAGCTTTGTCTAAAATGCTTATTGGCTCCTATCATCTGTTCTATATACCAGTCTCCCACAGTTTTGGTACTCTCCAAAACTGTTAGGGTGGAAATTCTCCAACGTAGTGCTAATGTAGCATGCTAGTTAGCATGAGGAGTGTACTGCATAGACAATACTATGCTAGATAGATCTGCTTTCCATGCTAACAACTCTAAAAGCTAAAATGTACTGTATGGTTAACAAATACAAGACCTTTGGATTCAAATTCTGTTAAAAGGTTGAACATAGAATATCTAGTATGAAAGTACATATATCTTAAGGGTCCCAATAAGGAGGAAACCATTTGAGTGGTAATCAGTGGCTAACATAACATCAATAATAATGACTGTTATCATCCAGTTGTCATATATTGCAAAGCCTGAATATGAGAGAGATTATTTTAAGAAGGTCAAGAACTGAAATTGCAGCAAACTACCTGCAAGGTCTGCATATCTCCTAGTTTTGAGAATGCTGAACATTTTGGGGAGGAAAATGTGAGCATAGAAGATTATAGTAAATTCTAGCACAAGATTTTCAATATGATTGTGTAAGAGGTGACAAAAAAGAAAATACAGTCACTGCTCCTAGCATTCAAAAGATATTAATTCAAAAGAGATCAGAACACTGAGCAGCTTACATGTATATTTTTGCAGTGTGGTTTCTAGGGAATATAGGACCTTGGTGGCATTTCCTCTCATTTAAATCTAATGTTTTAAATTTAAACAGAAAGTTTTGGATTCAGAGCGTGCTATTATTCACCTCCTACCTGATATGGTTTCAGCCAAAACACCACAAAATGAAAAGTTCAAATTGACATTCTAGAAAGTAATAGGGACAACATTATTATAGTTATAACACTACATAGTTATAATACTAGATTATGACAGCAGAGTCACTCGTATTGACTCTCAGTATTTTGAATGAGATTCCTATCATGAAATTATATTATTTTTAAATGACAGAATGATAGCTTTGCAAGGGGACATTTAGGCCATCAAGTCCAACCCACTTCTCAATCTAGAAATCCAATTAAAGCATTTCAAACAACAACACTCTACACTTCACTTGAATGCATCCAATGCAGGGAACTCTGCAATTCTCCTGGTAATTGGTTCCATTGTTTTGCATTTCATTACAATAGCAAGAATTTTTGTAGCTCAATATTGAAGAAAATTAAGTTGTATCTGTATGGCAACGGTTAGAAAACCCTGCTCTATTATAAAATCTCTAAAATTAACATACAGTCTAATGCATTTTTATTTAGCCTGAAGAAAAAATGCCTCAGGGTGGAAATGATAACATGCTTCAAATTATTGAAAGGCTTTCAATCCCCCCCAAAAAAGGGGGGGGAATCTATAGCAGGTAGAAATGAGTCCAAATGGGCAAATTATAACAAGGTTGTCGGCATCCGAATATTTTACTAAACTTCTTAAGAGCAGGAACAGTTAGATAGTAGAGCCAATTATTAGCATGAGTAAAAGAGCTTTCCATCTCTGAAATTCTTCAAACAGAAGCTAAACAGCCATCTTTCATAACAGAATACTCTAATTTGGAATATTCTGCATGAAAATAGCAACTAGATGAGATAACTCTCAAGATTCATTTTTAACTCTATCATTCACTTGAATATATTGATAGTCTGTGTTTTAGTTCTCTAGACAGTATGTATACCCAATTTTTCCCTTCTTGGATCATTTGGTAAAAGGGCTTGCATTCAGCGTCACCAAGGGCTCTACCATTGGAAGGACACGCTGTCCAAACTGTCACTCATGACAGGCAGCTTACATATGATTATTCAGTCGTCATATGACCCACTCCAGAAGGAAATAGCATGAGCAGTAGCACTTAGACTTATATACTGCTTTACAGTGCTTTACAGCCCTCACTAAGTGGTTTACAGAGTTAGCATATTGCCCCCAATAATCTGGGTCCTCATTTTACTCACCTCAGAAGGATGGAAGGCTGAGTCAACCTTGAGCCTGGTGAGATTTGAACTGCCAAATTGCAGGCAGTCAACTGCAGGCAGGCAGTCAACAGTCCACAGAAGTAGCCTGCAGTACTGCACTTTAACCACTGTGCATCATGGCTCCAATGTAACCCACTCCAATATTCAAAAAAACCAAATGGACATTCACAATCAGGACAATGTTAACAAAATACTGAAGTTGAGCCCTAATGAGGGTGAAGGTTCATTCTCCAAGTTTGTGTTGGTTTCCAAACGTTTCATTACCAGGTTAGGTAACACCTTCAGCAGAGTTTAGGGGTTGCCAGTGTCAGTGTTCTTCTGTTTATAACAGCTTCAGGTGTGGGTGTGAGGGCCTTGTGATGGGTCAGGTGTGAATCATCAGGTGTGATGGGCTTTGTGATAGGGAAGTTACATCAGGTGAGGATCATTGAGAGGTGAAGTGCTGGTTGGGGGGCTTGCATGGGTTAGTTGAGGGTCGCTGCTGTATCTGATTGGCTGTACAGTTGATTTGGATTCTGAGGGGTTTGTAGGCCCTAATGTCGGAAAATATCCAATGGACTAAGTGGGAAGAGCATAGGGAAAGTACAAGTAGAACTGGGGGTTATTTTGTAATTAAGATTAAAGATGAAGGTCATCCAGCTCTTGCTGTGACCAAAAGAAAAAAGGACAGTGCAATGCTGCAATTATACTATTGTTAAAAGGCAAGAATCATGAATGGAGGCAAACTTGATGCCATCAAGACTGAATGATGACCTACTGGAGCAGAAATGGGTTGGAAAGAATCACTTCATATCAAAGAAGAATCACATACTATGGCAGACAAGGGACTCACTGATGAAATGGAAACATTATCACTACTGTATTAACAAAAGAGTATCGAAGTCTGTCTTGGATACAACTCCAAAAGTGACATAATGAGCTCAGTAAGAATCCAAGGCAAGCCATTCAATAGTAGGACAAACTAACATTCTGATTCAATTACATATGCAAAAAATATGGGAGGTGAACAGTTTTGTGATGAAATACCTCGTTGATGCAGCATCAAAAAAGAGATTATACTAATTATAGGAGATTGCAAAGTTAACATTGGGAGGAAAACAGCATCTGGAATCATGAGGAAAATAATTTTAGTTTTATGAAATGAAGCAGAAGAGACTAATAAGGCTCTACCAAAACATACAATGTTTATAATAAATATCTTCTTCCAACAATGTAAAAGTGTATATACATGAACATCACCAAATGGACAACACAGAAATCAAACTGTTGTACTGTCTGCAGGCAGAGATGGAGAAGTTCTATTCATTCAGCGAAATCAACATCTGGTATTGACTTTGGCTCAGATCACAAACTCCATCTTGCTGAATTACAAATTAAGCCAAAGAAAACAAGTAAAATCATCAGACCATCAATATACAACCTCAGCAATACTCCATCTGATCATGACAGGAAAGGAAAAGAAAAGATTTAATGGATTAAATATAAGTAAATGGAGGGTTTAAATAACTGCAGTGAAATGCACGACATCATTTAATTGAAACAAACAAAAATATTCTAAAATGGGGTGTGGGGGAGAAGTAGGTTCATTGAATTCTTGCTTCATTGATAGAAAGCAAAAGTCAACTAAATTGAGGAAAATTTCCCCAACTAAATACAGAGTTCCAAAAAAGGGGAAAGAAGACACACAGAATTTTATTTAAATAACCAATGCAAAGAAACTGAGGAAGGACCAGAGATTCGTTTAATTTTTTTTACTACAAAAAATCAAAGGAGGTGCGACTAGTGGTAGGAAAGAAGAAGATCGAGTTCCATTAGAAAAAAAGGATATAAAGATGAGACGGTATAAGTATATGGATGAACTGCATTAAAAAGTTCCTAAATTTTATGATGCGTTGACAATTTGACCACTGAACTAGAGATAGACATTTTAGAAAGAAATTATATGGGTCCAACAAAGCATTGTTAACAATGAAAGTGCAGGACTTGATTAAATACCAGCAGAGCTCTTTAAAGCCTTGCAAAATGATGCAGTTAAATTGCCCTTCGCAGCTTGTAAACAAACATGGAAAACACAGCAGTAGTCAAGGAACTGGAAAAAAAAGTAATTTCCATTGCATATCAAAAAGAGAGAGAGAGAGAGAAAGTACTAAAGATATGCTAGTAAGATAGTATTTGAAATTTTGAAGTTGAGATTTCAACAATAGAACAAAATGGTCAGCTACAGCAGCTGAATTAAAAGTGGGCAGACACACATAATTGAATTCAATGGATAATAAAAAATGAAAGGAAATTCCAAAATAATGTCTGGTTTGTTTTATTTGATTATTGCAGCACACTTGATGGCATAGACTACAACATTGATGGTGT